GGGGGGGGGGGGGGGGGTTCTGTGAAGTCTGTTCTGAAGTCAAAATTCTTCACTGTCGTGTCTTCAATCGAGGGCGTTGGGTTGAATTATGCCCTATTTCTGCCCTTGATTCATTGTTCTTGAAGATTTGTTTATGCCCGATAAGGAGAGAATAATTTTCTCGACCTTATAGTTCCGCATTGAGCTCTGGAAGTTTTGATTCAGCAGGATCTAGGTTTTTTGAGTGAATTTTTTTCCGGCTTTCATTGGGATTTGATGCATGCATGTTTCCGGCTACTCGTTTGGCTTCGAAATTCTTATGAATTGCTTAGCTATTATATACTCTTAATTTAAACTAGCTCAAATCCTGCTAGTAACCCACTTTCGCTCTAGATTTTGAACTGTTCATCTACTAATAAGGCGCTAAAAGAATATAGTTTTATCTCTACCCTTTACTGTTCGTTGCTGAGAACAGCTATTTATAATTATGCATTCAAGTGTGTCATGGTTTGCTGTCTTTGGATTTGCAGCAAGCTGCAGGGTACCTTTCTGAATTGGATCAATCACCGTCAGCTTCAATTTTGGAGTCGATGCAACCTTTTATCAATGCAGTTATCAAGCCGGAATTGCTTCAACACCAAGATAGAGATGTCAAACTTCTAGTTGCTACATGTATTTGTGAAATAACACGAATAACAGCACCTGAAGCTCCATATAGTGATGATGTTTTAAAGGTAATATTGGCGGATGGAATTGGATTGTGTACTTATCTGATTTATTAGTTAGACTATGCTGTGGTCTAACTAAGTACATCTGCTTGCAGGACATCTTTCACCTGATAGTGGGCACTTTTAGTGGATTGAATGATACTAATGGCCCTTCATTTGGTAGGAGAGTTGTCATTTTGGAGACACTTGCTAAATATAGGTCGTGTGTTGTAATGTTGGACCTTGATTGTGATGATCTGGTCAATGAAATGTTCAGCACGTTTCTTGCCGTTGCCAGGTTTGTATGACATATGTGCTCTATGTAAGTTATGTTGTTACCGTTGTTGGGTTTGGATACCTTTTCAAATTACGTCTGCAGTTTGGTACGGTTTTTGTTCTTGATTATAGCTGAGTACTGTACATTATTATATTGGTTGTTCACAATGAGTCTCAGTGTATATTAAGAAAAATTTTAAAAATACAAAGACTACAAAAATAATGGTGTACAAATTTACGGAATTGAATTGAGCTCAAACTTGAACCATACAGATTCCGTGATTAAAACACGTTATCAAAATTTCTCCTTAGTTCAACGATTCTTTTAAGATAGAAGCAACTGTGGTCAGGTGGCCTTGAACCCAATCTTGTCCCCGTTAAGAAAAACCTAGAGGACTAACCATCTCCCTTCTGCTTTGGGATTGACGACTTATTTCTACCACGGAGACCACAGATAATGCTAACATTTGTTGAGGTATTAAATACAGTGGAAGGATCTCCCCCATCCTATTTGCAACTTCAGAACATTTCACCTATTATCTGGAAGAGATGTGTGAGAAAATGTCTTGAGGAGGGTAATTGAAAAAGAGCACGGGGGTGTAGGTTAGTATTGAGAGACAGTTCGAGTGTAGTTAATGAGTTAGTAATAGGAGAGAGCAGATAAATAGGCTGAGGGAAAGGATGATAGTCCTTGTATTACGTGAGGATTGTATAGATGAGTTTGGAGCTTTTTGAAAGCTTCCTTTGTTAGCTTGTCCTTTCTCCGAGTTTAAAAATTTAAAGATAATTCTTCTTTGAAATGTCAATATTATTTGCAATTAGTCTTTGTTAGAGATTTAGCTTATGTGTTAAATTTTCTATTATTATCATTTCAAGATATCTTCTATGCACCTAATTATAATTGACCAACACAGGGAGGATCATCCTGAAAGTGTTATCTCATCGATGCAAACTATAATGGTTGTTCTCTTAGAGGAAAGTGAGGACATCAGAGAGGAGCTCTTATTTACTCTATTATCGACTTTAGGTCGCAATAAAAGTGTAAGTTTCCTTTTTACCAGGGCATGCAAATTTTCTTTTTGAATAAGTCGATACACTGTTACTGAAATGATGCTTCGTGATCAGAATGTTTCTTCGGCTGCAAGGAAGCTTGCTATGAATGTGATACAGAATTCTGCTGAAAAACTTGAAGCTGCTGTAAAACAGTTTATTGTAACTTCAATGTCAGGAGAAAACAAACCACCATACAATCTGATTGATTACCATGAAGTTATTTATGACATATATTGCTGCGCCCCGCAGATTCTATCTGGGATTGCTGCATACCTCATTGGAGAGTTACTGGTAAAGTCTGTTGGCGACTCTTGTTATTTCATTCGTCTGTTTGTTTCAGTGGTCTAATAAATTTGGAGTGAACGGGATGGCATGCTTTGAATCTCACTGCAAACTTGTAATTACAGTCTACTGGTGATTTTAGTTCTGTGATTCACTTGCCTAATCTGTTAGTGGCTATTCGAACATGATAACCATTACTTTTGTAGCAAATTTATCAGTGATCTCGTATGCGGAATTGTATATTAATTATTGTATTAGCTTAGTTGAGTATGATTGGGTTTTGTTTTGTTTTTTTTTATAGACGTTCTAGTTCCTCAATCATCTGAAGTTCACTCTTGTTCTCTCTCCTCCTCTCACTTTGTTCTGCCTTTTCGGCCCTCCCAAGATTTCGTACCTTTCAATGGTGTTTGATCTCCCTGTTTCTACAGGGAGTTTCGAGTATCCTGCATTTAGGTGCTTGGTTCAATACACGTTGTTGGAAGCAGGGTTTTACCATAAGTGCGGATGTAATAGAGTTAGAGTTTGGAAATATGGAAATGCAATACTGTCCTTACGAAGTTGAGCTGGGTTCTTTAGCATGGGTTTATTTTATGTTCAGAGATACCTTAGGCTCCCGTACATTGCAAAATTGTACCATACATATGAAAATCTGTTTTTGCAAATATGTGTTCAGCTCTTGAACAGATATGGCATTGTTTATAACAGCCGTGTTTCTTGTGTAAAAGAAATAAAGGAATAAAAAGAAAAGAGATAGCGGAAGGTATTGTTAATTCCATATGTTTAGTACGTACGCACATAAATATATATACTTTTTCTAGTAGGAAACTGATAACATTAAATATGTAGTGTAGATTATTGATTACTTTCAGTTTCTATTTCTAATCCGTCCTGAAAAATATCTGCAGACTGATCAGCTGGATACTCGTGTAAAGGCCGTTGGATTGGTTGGAGACCTGTTTTCTCTACCTGGCTCTTCTATATCTGAAGTTTTTCAGCCGGTTTTCTCAGAGTTTCTAAAAAGACTGACAGATAGGGTTGTTGAGGTTCGAATGTCTGTCCTGGTGCATGTGAAGAGCTGTCTACTATCCAATCCTCTTAGAGATGAAGCATCTGAAATCATTTGTAAGTGTTCTATGTTTACTTACTTTCTGTTCCTTTATTTATTTATTTCTTTTTTGATGGGTTGATTAGTGATTTAACCGTTGGTAACCTCGGCTGGTATCAATTTTGGTTTGGCCTTCTGTAGCTGCCCTTTCTGATCGGCTGTTGGACTTCGATGAAAATGTGCGGAAACAAGTTGTTTCTGTGATTTGTGATGTGGCATGTCTTTCCTTGAATGCAATTCCGCTTGATACTATAAAGCTCGTAGCTGAACGCCTTCGAGATAAATCTGTACGCATCCATCTTCTCTGATCTATTACTACTGTTTAAACTTACATAGTGAATATCATCATTCATGTCGAAATCCAATATTTCTTCCTATTCTCTGAATATCCAGCTACTTGTTAAAAAATATACAATGGAGAGGCTAGCTGAGATATACAAGGTCTATTCTGTGAAATCTTCTGCTGAATCAACCAATCCCGACGATTTCACGTGGATTCCTGGGAGGATTTTGAGATGCTTTTACGACAAGGATTTCAGGTCAGTCTAAGTGTACTTGTCTTAAATTGATAAACAAAAGTTTCTATCTGCGATGAGAAAATATTTTAACATCACTAGAGAAACTTGGTAGGTCAATATCCGTTCGTGCGTTTAACGTGTTTTACTCTCAATTCCGATAATTATAATGGCATGTTTAGGCTGTCGATATTGTTTCATGAGTATGAATATTAAATTTTTTAGATTAAAATGTCAGATAAAAAATGTCTGTGTTTGGATATGTAGAATAATTAAAGTCTGGGAGTTGAATGTCTGTGTTTGAATATGGAGAATAATTAATGTTTGTATTTATTTTGGAAGTTTTGTTCTTGGAATTTAAATAATATGTTTATGAACTAATCAAAATAACAATAAAAAAAGACTAGAAAAAATATGATTAGTATTGAACTTATATTAAAACAATTTAAAATTAACGTTTATTTATTTATATTTAATTATCAATGAAAATTTGTTATTATCACTCTCTCACATAATAAAATAATTATTAAATTATTATATAGGCTTTCCTGTGAAAAAAACAATTTAAAATTTTAGATTTAATTAATTAAAATATTTATATTAGATAATTAAGTAAAAATAAATAATAAATTAAAGCAATTGAATTTAATTTTTTTTACTAAGTAGAAAGAAATTAATGAGTAGTTTCTCTTTCCTTCCTCCTAGAAAACAATTAACTAAATATAAATTAATTAAAATGTTAATATTATTTTACATGATATAGTTAAAATAATGATTTTTAATGTATTATTTTTTTTAGAAAATAAAATTTAAATGTATTATTTACAATTTTATTAAGTCTAAGTAATGTATTCATAAAAATAATTATAATAAAATTAATTAATTAATTAGATTATAGTGTTGTTGTTAATCTCTTGTGTATAAAAATCTCACTTATATGGAGGTAGTTGAATGAGTTCTAAATTTTTGTAGATAAGAATATCTTGGGTTTTAAAAAGTGAAGACTAGTGAAACAATTTCTGATCTTAAATATCTGTCTGAAAACCATGGAAAAACACATGAAACAAACAGGTCCTAAGGGTTTTTAATAATTTTTTTTTTTGATAAAATCCCAAAGAATCCGTACTGTTCTCGCTCCTTTTGTCTTTTTTAAGGAACTATGATTTCATTTTTTGAATGAAATATACAAAAAGGAAGGGTGGGGTGGTCTACAAAAAACTTGTCCCTTGGGCAATGAGATTAGTAAGACTAATTCTGGAAGGGTATGAAGCTCTAAAAAGACCAAATCTATAAGTTGTCGAAGGATAGAGATTCCAAATGAAAGCCGAGTTAGCCCAAGAATCTTCTTCTCATCCCTGGAAGGACAGCCTGGGAAGGTGTAAGCTAAAAAGTCGGGAACATTGGCTAAAGAACCATTGCCCACCAAGAACTTCCAACATGAAAGTTCAGAAGCTATAAGAAAAGGAGCAGGATATAGAAAGATGGATTTGGGATTCAGTATTCCTTTTGCTAGACGCACCAGCTTGGATATAAACGAATGAGAGGCATGCTTGTTTGGAGATGCCCCCTGTGTTGATACCCCTATGGGTAAGCTCTCGAAGGAAAAAAAGGAAGATCTTTTTGGGACATCTGCCCCACCAAAATACTGTTAAATAAAGGATCCTGCTCGAAATCATGGCTGTTAGTTAGAGCACATTATTAAGATTTATCCGAGAAGTTCATGAATACGGGTCAGAACCATCTGTCAGACTCTTCCTTTATCGCCATGGAAGAGGGTGTATTCCAAACCTAAGAGATGGTTGCAATTATTCCGTCAGAAAGCTTGTAAAGTATGGGGAAGGAGATGCTAGAGGCCAACTTATTCCAATGGTCAGTCCAGAAGAAATTGTTCATACCATTGCCAATCTTCTTTTTAATCCTCTCATGAATTCTGCTGCTCAGCTTAGAGATGTAATGCCAAGGAGTTTTGGTTGAGCTTTATAAGAAGGGAACATTTAAATATGTTCATGGGACGAAGAATAGTACTTGGCATGCCCCAACTTGCACCAAAGGGTGAATATTTCATGGATAAACTTCGAAAACCTTTTGGCAAGAAGAGCTTTGTTCCTCTGGTTTATGTTGGCCATTACCAACCCCCCACAAGACCGGCTTCTGGGTGTTTCTCCAATTAACATTTTATAGACCACCCTCCATTTTGGGGCCTTCCCAAAAGAAGTTTTTCGGCCTTTTTCAGCCGATAAAACCACGTTGGTCGGCCTTCTTAAAGGACAAGTAATAGATAGACAGGTTAGACAGTGTGGCTTGAATTAGGTCCTTAACTAATCTTATAGACAAGTTATAATAACTATTGAATCATTTTCTTAATAACAATACTTGTCAAATTGTGATAGTTAATGAGATTGATTATTTATCTTTTCTCTGTTGCATGCTTCAAGCTCTTGCAGTAAAGTGTGTTCAATAGTTGTTTGAAGGAACTGCTTGCTATTTTATGATAGATAGGTTTCTTTTGTAACTTTTAGTTTTGGCTATTGGTGCCGTAAGCATTGATTTCCTACCATCCTCCCATGTATTGGAACTCCATTCTTTTTTGATTGGTGTTGTGTGAGTGAATGGATAAGCTTGATCTCAGGTTATTGATTTTTAGACTATGATTTGCAGATCTGAAATAATTGAATCTATTCTTTGTGGGTCACTTTTCCCATCTGAGTTTCCAGTAAAGGATAGAGTTAAACATTTGCTCCGAGTCTTCTCAACGTTTGACAAAATTGAACTCAAGGCTCTGGAGAAGATTCTGGAGCAAAAACAAAGGTATGCATTTTTCTGATCAAGAACCTTAAGTGAGTTTGTAAGCACCTCACAATCCTAAACAAGTAAATAACAGTTGGTTCACTGATTTCCATTGTGGGTTCTCGTTAATTTTGCAGGTTGCAGCAAGAGATGCAGAGGTACCTGTCTCTTAGGCAAATGAACCAGGTTTGTGAATATTCCATCTATGATGTTTATTTAGTAACAATGGGAAGAGTTAACGATTTTGATTGGTGAGCTGCAGGGTGGTGATGTTCCTGAGACCCAGAAGAAAATACTGTTCAGCTTTCGCATTATGTCTCGGTCATTTGCTGATTCTGCAAAATCTGAGGAAAATTTTCAGATTCTTGATCAATTGAAAGATGCCAATGTCTGGAGGATTTTGAGCAATCTTATTGATCCAAACACCAGCTTCCATCAAGCTTGCAACTTGCGGGTGAGAAACAAATTACTGTATAGGCATTTAAACATCTCAAACATCTCTCCCTTGTCAAGCATGGGAGTTTTTTGTCTGTGAATTGAACGTATATTAAGTCTCCATCTTTTATTTATTATTTAGTTCTTGAAGATCAATTGCTCCCTTTACCAAGTTTAAAGCCAAAACATTCTGGTTTTCTCAAAGGAGATTCGGGAGTGAATTAAGTTTTATGTCTGTTGAGCTTCAATTGCTAAAGAGTGCAGAAATTGCCCTCCATGTCTGAGTAGATAGTCGGCAGTCGTACCAGAAGATACCACAATAACTACACTATAATCCTTTTTTCCCTAAATAACTTCAAAGTGCTTGTTTCTGTAGCCTCTATGAAGTTTTGAATTACATATTGATTTTCAATGAGAAAACAAGTTGAACAAAATGCATGGAAAAAGCCTGCGGAAAACCTTTCCAAGTGGTACAACTCAAAACAATCATGATTAGAAGAGTCCTTGTATAAGGCATAAACACAATTCTTAACTAATTTCCATCCTTCTTATTGCCAATGTTATACTGATTTACTAATCCATCTGAGAAGATTGCATTTGTGGTTGGGGTGTAGTTGTTTATTTTGATACTAAAAATTTCATCTACCTCTGTAGATATTATGAGGAAGCTGCATTTGCTTTAGATTTCGAAGAAAGATTTGTAATGTGACGTTTTTGTTTTTGATGCTTTCAGGATGAGTTGCTTAAAATACTGGGCGAAAAACACCGCTTGTATGATTTTCTGAACTCATTATCTTTGAAGTGTTCCTATTTACTATTCAACAAGGAACATGTAAAAGAAATCCTTCAGGAAGTGGAGATTCAAAAATCTTCTGGCAGCATGCAGGACATTAAATCATCTATGACTATGTTAGTGGTAAAAACCTGTCATCTCTTAATCTTTCATCTTTATATGAAGTAATCTCAGTGATGCTATTGTCTACTCTCTTGTACTATAGCCTACCTTTCCGACGATTTTGCACGTTGTGATTTGTGTTTAAGGCATCAGCACAATGATCTGTGTTTTTGCTTTTGGGTGACTTTGTTTATTAGTAATGAATGTATATAAGAATGGCTGTATAGCTAAAACATAATGTGATGTCAATTGATAATGCTTAGCTATCTGCTTGAACAAGTTGCAACATTTTGTACTTCCAATATGTCAAAGTTTATGTGCTTAATCTTATCTACCTGCCTAAAAAAATAAAGATTAACTTTCTCCCGGATATTCTTTTCACAGATTCTTGCACGCTTCAGTCCTATGTTATTCAGTGGGTCTGAGGAGGTGCTAATCAATTTTCTTAAAGATGACAACGAGATAATAAAAGAAGGAATTCTGCATGTTTTAGCAAAAGCTGGTGGTACAATCCGTGAACAATTGGCCGTCTCATCAAGGTATAGCTGAAGAATTTTCCATATTAGAAATTTAGAACTTGGTTATTGAATATTTGTATTACCGATCTTCCTGTCATTTATTTCCAGCTCCATAGACCTTATATTAGAGCGGCTGTGCTTAGAAGGCACTAGAAGACAGGCCAAGTATGCTGTACATGCGTTGGCTGCTATAACAAAAGACGACGGGCTAAAATCACTTTCTGTTCTGTACAAGGTTTGTTTCAACGTTTTCATGAACAAACTTGTAATCATTTTCAAAACGAATGTTCTCGTGACGTCATTATGGTCCTTACATGATTCAAAACTTCTTAAATTTTTTTAGAGGCTTGTGGATATGCTTGAGGAGAAGACTCATTTGCCTGCTGTACTTCAGTCCCTGGGATGTATAGCTCAGACAGCAATGCCTGTTTTCGAAACCAGAGAGAACGAAATTGAAGAGTTTATTAAAAACCAGATTCTTAAATGTGATTCTGTGAGTTTCCATCACGGGTTCTCTGTGTTATTCCTTGTGTATGACTTGATGATAGTTAGGTTCATGATTGCTAATGCTTCTATTTCAGGATGTGGAAGATGATGCAAAAACATCTTGGGAGAACAGAAGTGAGCCGTGCTTGTTAAAGGTTGGGCACATTCGGTTGTTTCTTTCTCCCCTCCTCTCTCACACACACATTTGTTTCAACAGAAAATAATTAATGATGTCCATTGAAGATTCACAAGATAACATAAACTTTTGATATTTGGTTCTGAGAAACAGATATTCGCCATGAAGACATTGGTCAAGAGCTACTTACCTGTTAAGGATGCTCACCTCCGTCTTGGAATCAATAATCTTCTAGAGATCCTTGGTAACATGCTTGCCCATGGAGAAATATCCCAAGATATAAAATCAAGGTAACCATATCAATATCGGAATACTTCTTATTAATATTGCAGTTTATGAGTGTTTTGTGTAACAAGCATTTGTTGTACGAGGCATGAAAGTTGCTAAAGTCTTTCCGTTTTACAGTTCAGTTGACAAAGCCCATTTAAGACTTGCAGCTGCAAAGGCAATTCTTCGACTATCGAAGCAATGGGATGATAAGATACCGATTACTACTTTTCACTTAACCTTAAAAATACCAGAGGCAAGTCCACATAAAAGTTTGTGCTCATATTTTATCTTCTTAACCTCTCATATAAGGCAGTATGAAACTTATTCTTGGCATTATCATTTTGAAGAAGTAGTTTATTTGTGAATGCAAGATTAATTGGGGCTTTTGCATGTTTTGGTGTCTTGTAGATCACGTTTCCTCAAGCTGGGAAAGTATTCTTGAGCAAAGTTCATCAATACATCAAGGACAGAATGTTGGATGCAAAATACGCATGTGCATTCTTATTTAACATAAATGGTTCCAATCCATCTGAGTTCGATGAGGTAATTACACTAGATTTGATAGGAACTGATTGGCATTTCAATTATTTCTTTTGATAATTTCATGTACAATTTGAATTAACAGGAGAAACAAAATCTGGCTGATATTATTCAAATGCATCACCAAGCGAAGGCACGTCAACTGTCAATGCAATCCGAAGCCAATCCAATGGCAGCTTATCCCGAATACATAATACCATACTTGGTTCATGCCCTTGCTCATCATTCGTGTCCAGATGTTGATGAATGCAAGGATGTCAAAGCATATGAATTAGTATATAGGCAAGAATATCCCACAATATCGCTTATATTTATTCTGGAGATATAGTTATATTAGAAAAGCCAATAGCTTAACGAGAAATATATATTTCAAAAAGGGAAAGGTTGCACCATCTTGAGACCAAAACGATATTTAATTTTAATAACTCTTGAGAAAAGAGCCTTATTTGGGAAGATTCTATACTCATTAACATTTTCGATAATCATCTTTTTTTGAACTTCAGGCGATTGCACCTGATTCTTTCTCTACTAGTGCATAAAGATGAAGATGTCAAGTTAGAGGCTAATATCGCCAAGGAGAAGGAAAATATATCTACCATATTTTCCATCTTTCATTGTATTAAAAATAGTGAAGACGTAGTTGATGCAGCGAAGTCGAAGGTTAGAAGACAGTAATATCTTGTTGGCTTCTATTCGCCCATTCTATTTTATTTTCTTTTAAGATTCTTAACCCAAGAGGGCTGCAACAACTACATTTGATAATTTTAATCATTGGATTCTCAGATTTCATATGCAATTTGTGATCTTGGATTGTCAATTGTTAAGAGATTGGCCCTGAAAGAGGACGATTTACAAGACCTGACTGTACCAATTTCTCTGCCTCCCATATTGTACAAATTGAAGGAGAAGAAAGGAGATGATTCTGTGGTAAGTTAACACTAATTTGGTTTAATAGGTACTTTACTCAACAAGTTTGCATAGATCTCTTATATTTGACTTCTGTTTTGTTTCGCTTGCTCTGAGCCGTTCTTTTATACAGGCGCCTCCTATACATGTCAAGCTGGTTCTTTTCTTTTTTTAATTATTTAGTAAAGTTACACATGCTAGTAGATGCAAAATGTTTATTTATTTATTCATATAACAAGTGCAAGTATTTGTTTCGGAAAATTTATATAATTGATAGTTTGAATTAAATGAAAACGAACTAAATTGTTAACTTGTGAAGATTATCAATTGCAGATTGTGGATAAAAACGTTATAAGATGTTTCTTCCAACATTTTCCTTTAGTTTTGTAATGATATTGAGAGCTGGGAATCAGTAAATTTTAGAATCAGTCATGGTTATAATGCTGGTAGAGGAACGAGTGCCAGCGAGAGGGACGAAACATTCCTTTTAAGGGTGTGGAAACCTCTCTCTAGCAGACACGTTTTAAAAAACTTGAGGGGAAGCTCGGAAGAGAAAACCCAAAGAGGACAGTATCCGCTAGCGGTGGGCTTGGGCCGTTACACTAGGAATCCAAGTTGGATCCTAAAGTGTAACCTCCTCTCTTCTAAATAGAAGTGGAAGCATTATATTTGGTTCATGCATCATGGTTTGGTGCTTGTCTTCTACTGATATGATTGTATGTCTTTGACAGGCTGGTCAAACTGAAGGTGAAGCACAAACGTGGTTGGTTGAGGAAAATGTTTTGGCTCACTTTGAGTCACTCAAGTTAGAATCAAATGAGGTTGTATGTTCTATTACCATGAGTGGTTGTATGTATGACTGCATCATATTTTATATTTGAACTTCCTAAATCCTAACATTATTTTTATCAAATCAGATTTCTAAAGAAGCTGCTGCAGATGAGGTTCAGAATAAAGATGAAAAAGATGGAAATGATGTGCCTCTAGGAAAAATGCTGAAAGGTATAAAGTCATACGGATCAAGGGAAAAAAAAGATAAAAAGGACAAAAAGGTCAAGAAGAAACCGATTGAAAAGAAAAATGCTGAAAACGACGTTGATATCTTGACAATGGTGAGGGAAATAAATTTTACTACCAGCGAACTTAAACCGAGCAACGGTCATGAAGATTTTCTTGGTAAGGGAATGAATGTGGATTCACCTGCAAAGAGCAAAAAAAGGAAACCTAGTGATGCAACTTCTGCTCCAATTCCCAAACACAAGCGGTCATCATCTAATCAAAGTCGTTCTAGACCCAAAAGTACTTCAAAGGGACGTGCACCTGGTTCAGGAAATACCTTACTTCAAGGAGAAGTTTCTCCACTAGAGTCAAGTGAAATCGACATGGGGAATAACCATGATTCAGATGATGATGTATCCAAGGAGAAGGAGATTGGTGGAAGTGGCGAGTCGGATTTATTGGTCTCATGTTTGAAAAAGCCTACAGGTTCTTCCAAAACTAAAGCTAAAGGCTCAGGCACGAGTCATTATGATGAGGAAAATGACCTTGAAGATTCAAGTGACCTTGATGTTAAGGTGGCATCTTAACTATGTCTTCTTCATCCCTTCCCCCCTTTTTATATGTAGACATTGCGAGTATCGGGAGTTGCTTACGCACATCATTCCTTCTATTTAACTTGCAGCATTCTAGTGTTCTGAAGAAGGTTGATAAGAACAACACGAGTAACTTGAAATCCAAATCCTCAAGTGGTGGGGCTGTGAAGAAGAGGAAACGAAGAAGTATTGCCGGATTAGCAAAGGTATGCTGATAGTGATATGTGCGTTAATCTAACTATGGCGTCTACTTAATGTGCTCAAGTATGTAGTATGCAGAACTAATCCAAAGTTCATCTGTTGATACAAAAGTGAACCTTCAACCTAATCTAGTATTAATATCCATTCTTATGATTGTGTTACGTTATTAAATCCTTTCCAAATTTATTGTCTTGCTAAAATTATATGGTGCCCTAACTGATACAGTTCTTAAATGTAGTGTCAGTTCAAGTATGGTGAAAATGATATTGAAGACTTAAGTGGATGCAGAATTAAAGTTTGGTGGCCCATGGATAAACAGTGAGTATCTACCTTATTTGTCAAATGTAGATAGTTTCTTCGCTCTTGTTTTCTTTAAGAAGCAATGTTCGAAAAAATTTCCGTCACGCCTAGTTTACAGTTGCACTTCATTCTTGAATATATGAAACTTCAATGTTCATGTACCTTACCAAGTATCTGACTCTTCGGTGCCTCTTGAAAAATCTCCGGTGGGCTCACTTTTGTTTGAAACGTCTGCCTTTAACGTGACGAGTAACTTGCCCAAACAATTAAATGAAATGTGCTGTGGTAGTGTTGGGTAAAGTTTTGCGTTCACGGACACACACATTCGCTCACCATTATTACTTTGTTGAATATTATGTATATACTTTTTTGAAATCTCTCTAGCACGATGTTGGGATTGACCAATTATCACTTAAGTTAACGAATTATTATTAGGAGGAAATGAAAAAACAAATTAGTTTTCAAGTCTTTAATTTTGATGTTTTTGTATTCCTTTGATGATTGATACTAATTATATTATTATCACCATCTCTCATATGTGTATCATTTTAAAAATTTTCAGATTCTATAAAGGCACAGTGAAATCTTATGATCCAATAAATAGGAAACACGTGGTAGGCTGCGCCATCTTACCCTCTCATTTCCCTGATTTCTTTTGATTCTTGGTGGTTGACAAAGCCAATTATTTGTTGTTCAACTCCTGGCAAAGTTCCTTATATTTTTTCAACGATTTTAATATACAAGATACTATATGATGATGGAGATGTTGAAGTTCTCAAACTCGAGAAGGAGCGATGGGAGGTCATTGACAGTGATCACAAGACTTCAAAGGTATGTGAACTGTAGCCCATCTCCTTCATATTGCCTCAAATTGTTTGACAGGTTCTTATGAGTTTTCCATTTTGTAATTTACAGAAACTAAAGCTGTCCAGGAGTCTTCCTTCCCTCGAAGTGTAAGTTCTATCTCTTAGAAGTCTATTTCATTTTATTTTTATGAGACCACATTCAGATGCATATGTAAAATGCTGTGTTTAATTGGGCTTCCAAGAATGGATTTCGCGTCAGTTATTATTGCAAACACTGCAATAACCTTTTCCCCCCACAAGAACATTGTATTAACGAGGAGGATTGCGAAAGGAATCCAAGCCCCACCTCCTCCCCTTCCCTTGGCTCCGATGCTAATGCCGATGGCGGTCTCCAATCACCCCCCCAAAAAAAAAATCATTTCTAGCCTTCTGCCATCATCTATTCGGTCTCAGAGCTTTTTGTTTCTTTGTCTTCATTAATTATTATGTGCTGGCAACCCTTTATGGTATTTTTGTCTCTTACTCGACTGATTTTTGGTGTTCGTTTTCTTTTCTTTGTGTTGGCAATATTTTTGAGGTAGTCATGGAGGTGAGAAGTTGCAAGTTCTGAAATCTTTTTACTATTTGGTTTGAGAAGAATGTGTTTTTTAGTGGAAGACTTAGCTTCCAATAAGGTAATCTCTCTCTCATCTTCGCATCTGGTTTGGCTAGAGCGTTCTTTGATGTGTGCCCAATTGCCTCTGGTTCAATTCAATTAGTAAAAGTCTGGTCTACTTCAAGTTGGTTCCTGCAATGTGTTGTTCGCGTTATAGTAAATACACTTAAGGCATAAGGTGCTTTAATGGCCATCCCTTTATCTAATGGCAAGTTTACTTGGTCTCGGTTGGGAGATGATGGCAGTCGATCGTTAATCGACAGAATTTTGGTTAATAATGAGTAGGATGATCATTTTAACAATTCAAGAGCTTCAAGGCAGGTTCGTACATTTTCTGACCATTTTCCCATTCTTGAGGCTGGTGGTTATACTTGGGGTCCATCCCCTCTTCATTTTTTGAATTCTTGGTCGAATTGAAGTGATTGTTTTATGCTTATGGAGAACCCTCTTTCTGAAAATTGTTCGTATGGAGAACTCTCTTTTCAATGTGCAGTGGGTTCTTTTTTCTTTTCCAAATTTAGTTAAGAGAACGTTCTTCAGCTTCTTATTGGTCCTCTGCTTCGAGAGTCAGGACCAAGGTTTTTATGGGATTAAAGGGATTACAGGACTAGATGGAAGGAATAAAGGGTCCAAATATCTCCAGCACTTCTAGGAGCACACACTGACAATGACTAGGGATGATTAAGAATTTTGCTTCCGAATCCTTATCTCGAGTATTGATTCTTTGGAGATATACGAGAAAATTTGACTGTCTGGGATATTAGATTTTCATGAGGATTGGTAACATCGAAAGCAGGTTTCGAATTCTGATGGTTGAAAATTGCATCAAATCAAAATCTTTCTGAAGTCCAGAGTCCTAGACCTCACTGAGGTTCACACGAGTTCACCTTATCAACTAGCATAGCCTGCTCAGAACTTCCTAGTCAAATAAGGGTCTTCTGGAATTCAAACTCTGAAGCTGAAAAGAGCTCCTCCGTTGGCTAATCCACAAGGTCATAAAGTCACGGAATCGTAGCAAAACCAGCTACTTTTTAACCGAGGAATCTCGAAAATTAGATTCCCTCATCATTTCCCACTTTGCCCATTTTGCATCAAACGGTTCAAACGAAGAGAACGAAGTCTTGCTGTAAATGACCATGTGTTTTGTTTGAGATGCTAATCTGTTGGTCATCACAAAGTGATTCTGGCATTCACCCTCCCCCCACTTTTGCACTATATAACGTCATTTTGTCCATGTTTTTTTTAAAAAAATTCCTTTGCAGTACTCTTGGCTGGAAGAGTAAAGATTCAGGTGGTTCACGTTCAATCAAGAAACCATTCAAAATGTAAGTAACTCACGCTAGCAATATTGCATCTTTTCTATTTGTTTCATAGCACTTTAATGAAGTTGTACTGTGTTCCAGAACAAAAGGAAAAAGGACACCAAAGAAAAATTTAAAGCATGGTCAAAATGGTACATCAAAGTCGAAAATTTCAGATTCTGGCGTGAAAAAAGGGAGTTCAGACATTTCAAATCCTGGAATTTTCAAAAGCTCTAATGTATATGACGAAATGGACTCAGGTAAAACATGTTTTCATTTCCATGAGCTTGAAATTCTGGCGTGAAGTTCTTACCTGAAAGAAAGTTGTTCATGCTTTGTATAAGAAGGATTGATTTTTTGGTTCTGAGAGTTCATTGTTCCAGGTGATTCTGAAGGAGAGCGTGCACAGACTCTCGCCAAGGAGTTCACGGACCGGGAGGACTCCGATAGGGAAATCAAGTCTGACTCAAAAGGAGGTGAAGGAGATCATCATATTGCGGAATCTGATGAAGAGATGCCTGATGTTGATGATGCAGAAGAGAAGCCGGATGCTGATGAACTTGATGAGGATCCTGAGAGTCTTGAGAAACATGCTGACAATGCAAGAGGAGGTAAGGCTCATAAAGAAGACAGGGAAGTCAACGAATCAAGTTCAAGAGAGAACATTGATGACGACAACGACTCCGATTCTGGAAAGAATCAAGGGACTGTAGTCGAACAAAGTAGTCCTGGAGGGGAGCAGAAAGGCGAGGAAGACGAACTTTCTGATGACGAGCCTCTGGTAAGTCATAACTAACCAGCCTTACAATAACCAAATGAATCTTCAAAAGCTTATATCACCGTTTTTTATCGATTACAGAGCAAATGGAAGCATCGAGCAGGAAAACGAGGCTTGAGATGAAACAGGGATAAAGTTGGTCCGGTCACCTAGTATAGTTGTCCAATAATTTCGAATCGGATTCCAAATGAGCTGCTGACGGTTTCAGTTAAGAACAAATGTGACAGATCACAGCAGCTAAATGTAGAATGTAACATAGCAGTCACAGTTTCTGACGTTTAGGGGACGGAAGTGTGAACTAATTAGCTTTTGCAGTAGGAGATAGATGATTAGGTCTCTTGCATATATTCGTATGATACCTTTTCTTTGCTGCCTTTATATGACCTTTGTGATTGATATGTTAAAAAGTGGCACATGTATAGTTTGAGTATACATGTTACAATATATAATGCATTCATGGTTGTTTCAATCTCTAGTACAAGAATGGTCATTTTCCCCTTCTCCTCACTCCTTTGGTTGGTTTTCTGTTTTATCTAGCAGAAAGAAAAGAGAAAAGGAAAGAACTGCCTTTTAACAGTGTTATCTAGTAGGGATTTGCCAAATAGGATTTTCTCACGTGCGTGATATGCACGCATGGAAGCGTATGTAAGACTTTTTTCGTGTGTTTGAGAGTTAGGTTGGCTAGACAATGACCTAGGTCAGGATCGTGAACAATAGTCAGAGGAGAAAGATTCGATGAGTTAGGACAGAGCAACCTGGAGCTAGAAGTCCGTACTAAGCCACCTAACTGCCCTAGGAATCTAAAAGACTTCTTCAGGTGAAGTTTAAATTATGGATTACGTGATTTGGTGATCAATAGGAATATCTCCCCAGCAAAATATGCATGAGAGAATTTAGTTAAAATTAGGGTGCTACAGTTAGTGCAGCTTACATGTTGATCTAGGTTAGTACGTTTCCAATAGATCTTGCACCCTAGGATCGTGAGCGATTAGAGGTTTAGACCCGTGTGCACCCAGATTTAACTTGAGGAGTTAACTCCGAATGTCTTGGAAACGAGATGGAATTTTAATCGTCTAAATGCCTCTAAAGCCTAGTAGACTTCCATAATATCCAGAAATGTCAAAGGTAGCCTTCTTGGTGAATAACAGCCAACACAATGTCTGAGAAGCTTCCACTTCTTTCTCACTCTAGTACGATACTGTTGAGATAGGCGTGAGGCTTGTTAGGGATGTATGACTCGGTGGTTTGTTAAATTTTCTTATATGGTGGATTCGTCCTGTGGTTGGAGGTTGATCTTGTAGGTAGTCAGTGGTTACCCTACATAAAAGATCTGTCCTATGGGCGGACGTTGATTATGTGGGTAGCTAGTGGAATTGGCACGTACTGGGGAGTCGCGTCCCCAACCTTTGTTGACTACATGGCCTACGGGATGGTTCGCCAGCTAACCTTCTATGGATGTTGATCAGACTAGCACTTGTCATATCCCCCATTCATACGAAGTCTTTTGAGGTATCACCTCATCTTTAGATATCGATTACTGCTGTGTAAGCTAAGCTAGCTACCCAAGATTGTATATAGCAAGAGTAATACACCTAGAGCTTAGAGTAAAGCTTGAGGTCTTCTACTAGGTCAATGATGCAATGAGAGTCTAAAAGTTGTTTGCTTACTTAGGATCTATCATAGAAATTTCAGAAACTTTGAAGCTTTTAACATGGAGAAAAACTAGCTTAAGAAGGCACATTTCATCCATTTAAGTAACCACACAAACTTTAAGCAAATAATACTTTATAGATTGCTAGGACGTGCTAGCATGCAACCATTCCTTACCTTAGGTGGTTAGAATACGTATGTCAAAGACTTTGAAAAGGCATTTTTGGATGAGTATGAAATTTTTTTGAAATATGTTCTTTTATGTATTATGCAATGCTAGAAAGAGAATATGCATTACTAGAATACAGGTTGGGCAATATAAATATGTTATGCATGAGGTAAGAATTTACCAAAATGCCCCTATGATGAAATTTGTGATGAATATTGTTTTATATGCTTTTCGAAATTGATATCCTCAATTTTGTAAGGACTTGATCTCCTACTCGAAATTGGAGAGGGCAACGTTTCTTGTCTGCCCACTTCTTCATGTGTTTAGAAGCTTTCTACAAGTAAACTTTGCCTATATATCTGTTGTCTCCTCCCATTCCATTGTGAAGTTTTGGGGCTTGAGGAGCATATGGTTGGTCAATAATATGGGGCAGGGTTGATTGTCGATCCCTCACAATTTCAAAGGGTCTCTTCTAAGTAGATGACTCATTTGACGAGTTTCAACGAAGTAACTAAAATACTCTTCAAGCAAGCAATTGAATCACTATGTCTATCCGTCGGTCTAGGGGTGGTAGCTCGAGGAGATATTTAAGATCATCTCCATGAACATGAGTAACTTGATCCAAAATGTTCCAATGAATTTGTTGTCTCTATCACTAACGATGCTCGATGGTATTCCTCACAACTTCACTTTATGTTTAAAGAACAATTAAGCTATCAACTCAACCGAGCATAATTTGGGGGTGGAAACGAATGTGACGTATTTTGAGAATCAGTCTACGATAACCAAGATGGCTTCATGTTTGCCAACTTTCGAGAGTTGTGTTTGAAGTCTAATGACATAATTTTTCAAGGTCTTATCGGTACTAGCAGGGATTCAAGGAGTCCCAAGATCTTGGTCTTCTTGACTTCATCTTGTCGGCAAATGAGTGACGCCTTAGTATACTGCATGATGTCATCTTGCATGTTTGAACAAAAGTAACCTTTCTTGACCAAGGCGTAAGTTTGTTGTCACCTAGGGTGTCCAGCCCATAAAGTATTGTGAGATTCCTAGATGAACTTGTTCCTCAGTTCTCCCGTTCTTGGAACATACAATATATTTTCTTTCGTTAGTAGAAGGTTTCCGACTTAAAACTGTCTAGTCTTTCTAGCTTTGGCTAGATCAACAACAACTTTGGCGAAGGGTTTTTATGTAGGTGTTCGTTTATGATGTCACGCATTGATCCGTCAATCTTACTGGAATGAATGTGGGCTAGCACATGACTGCATGTATACCCTTTCGACTCAGTGCATCGACAACTTAGTTACTCTTTCCTACTTTATGCTTGAACTTGAAGACGAACTCAACTAATGATTCTTGCCACCAAACTTGCTTTGACGTCAACTTTGGTTGGTTAATGAAGTGGAAAATGACATTATTGTCCATCTTCACGACAAAGTGTGATCCCAATAAATATTGTCTCTAGACTCTAAAACAACGGACCACAGCGAGCATTTCTTTTTTTGGAAACAAATATCTCTTTCTTTATTATTGAGCTTCCAACTTTCATAGGCAATGGGTGACCTTTCTGGATAAGAACACTCCCAAGGTTGAATGCACATTGGGATCTTCAAAATGTTTTTGGCACTAATCTAATTACAACCCGGAATGGTATTTTTTTTAGTAGTTTTGTTAATGGGGCGTCTCCTCGTGGAAACCCTTCGACTAATCGTTTGTAGTAGTTTGCTAATCCTCGAAAGGATCGTACATCGTTCACTGAAGTGGGACTCTCCAGTTCTGGATAGCTTTTATCTAATCGCTATCCATGTTGATTTGTCCACACTTGATGACATGTCCGAATAACGTAATGCATGTCTGTGCGAATGTACATTTCTTCTTGACATATAGATGATTTCGTCGTAGCTTGTTAAATACTAGCTTCATATGTATCTTGTGTTCTTCTAGCATGGCGTTGTTTACCTGTAATGGCTGGATTAAAAAAAAAAAAATCCAATTTCGCCGTAAATTGCGTTTATTTTTGCAATTGGAACCTCCCATAAGCCCTTAAAAGAAAAAGAAAGGAAAAAAAAATCAAGGGTTTCGTTCTGCATTTTCTGATGAAGAAGACGAATCGTCAGGTCGGATATTCGGACTCGGTTTCTATCTACGGCCGCACACAATTTCCAACCCAACCTTCACGGCCCAACGATCCAAGCTCTTTACTGCCAAGACCCCAGCCCACATGAAAGCCAGTCCACAACCGTTTCGACCTGACATACTGGGCCCGTACACGCGACCCAGCGACCCGAGCTGTGACCCGACAACCCGCGCGTTTCCCTCGGCTCCCACGCGTCTGGCACGTGACCGCTTCTAGCTGCGAATAATCTCGGCTCAACTCAACGCGTTCTCGGCTCGATGCAGCGGCTCCGTCGGCTTTCTCCAGCTTGCCTTTATAGCTCGATTTAGCGGCTCGGCTCCTCGGCTTAAACAACTCGGTATTCGAATTATACACTGTTTGCTAGGTTTTTGACCCGCCTGAAGCTTTTTTTATTTTATTTTATTTTATTATTTTATTTAGATGTTTGTGGCAGTAAGACTTCTATTTGCCTAATTTTAGTTAGCTTTAAGACTTAGGTTAGAAATTATCGTCATATTTAGTTAAGCTAAAATATTAATATGTTCTATATATGTCATGTGAATTGTTACAAGTGAGAACTATGGGTGCTATTACAGGTGAGAACTATGGATTGGAAGCATATTTTAAAAGCAACTACCAAATAATAATAATTTTGGCCAAGGTCAGTCAAGTAAGTGACGTTACCATTGAAGTTAGCTAATTGATGAATGATGGTGTATGTCTTGTGGCTTCTACATGTACCATGTTAAATGTGTAATGCTTATATTATGTGATGCTTATTTGTTCTTTGTATAGTCATGTGATATATGCCATGGATGGATGCGTGTTATATTCATTACACTATATTAAGAATTAATGGAATGTCAGGTGTGAAATGTTATATTTTAGATGTGGATTACGTGATGTTTTCCATGTGTACATGATGCATATATGAAATATGTTAGGAAAGAAATGAGAAAGAAAATGAAATAAATGTTATGTCATGAATGAAAATTATGGGACCTTATGCATGTATGTATGTCATGTGCATCGGGATACTTCCCCGTTATGTTATGCTAGTACGGACGCATACATTCGTATTTATGTTCGCCATCATATCATGCGGGCTTTTCCTTTTCTGAGGCGTCCAGTGATATGTAATGCGTTGTGCCTGACCAAGTCAGGCCTAGAGGTACGTATATGAGCTTACTTGGTGGGTCCATGTGCGCGTAAGGGTGTCATGTGTGGAGATGTACCACATGCAACCCTACCCGAAATTGGAAAGAGCCTAAGGTCATGTTGTGGTTTTAAAAGATAGGTCTCATTCATGTATTGTGTGTGATTGCGTTATTGACCCCAACAGTGGAGTGACTTACTAAGTATTTCATAAAATAGTCAAGCCACGTGCTATTCTTATATTTTTCAGGTAAAAGTAAAGCTCTTATGCACGGATGACGATGAACACTGGAAAGACCATGGAAGTCAGAATAGGGCATGATAGGGCGATAGATCTTATTGAATTTCAATTAGTAGTTGATAGGTGTTTTTAATGTTGTTTGTT